GCTATAACCATAAATAGCTAAATATGAGATAAATGTCCTATGTCAAAAACGCAGGCCCCTCCGCCACCTCTTCTGTATCCTTAGCCCCGGTGAGCCCAGGACATAACTGGAGCCATGTGGGCAGACTGGGGCCGCGGAGATCTGCAGCTGGTCAAGGAGCTTGGAGGCAACACCATTCGAATCTGGGCTGCGCTATGTTAGGGTTTAGGGTTTAGGGATTAGGGTTTAGGGTTTTGGGATTCGGGTTTAGGGTTTAAGGGCAGTTTTTCGGCCACTGTTTATACTACAGCCCTTATATAGTCGGTGCCCCCAAAAAGGTGCTATGTTTTTTCAACCATGCAGGTGCATTCTAACATTTGAGGATGCCTGGGTCTTTCCTTATGGTTGCAGACTCATAGAATGGTAGTTACGAAGGAAAATGGACATAGACTCAAATATATTGTAATCCTTATTATAGGGACCCCTTAAAAGGGTAGCCCTCATTTTGCTCATTTTTGGGAAACCTCTAAATTTTTGCAGCCGAGGAATGTATGGCAATGATGCGAACACAAGCCACCGAGCCTTCCTGGACCTCGCCTATGAAAAGGGCATCGACGTCGTCGCAGGTGTGATTTAGGGCTTAGGGTTTAGGGTTATTTAGAGACTGGTTCTTAGCAGGGTATAGGGGATATCATCCCCATATAATATATTCCCATATCCCCTACTGTACTACCAACCATAGGATTCATCTAAGAATTAGTTTGTGTTGTGTGCGCCTGTCCATCAGCCGTCACAGGTCAGCGAATGCAGTGCTTGCCATGCTTTGGAGCGAGTGACTTTCTTACCTTTGGGTAGCTAGGAATGGAGGAATGGATCCCTATAGTAGTCCCTATATAGCCCATCATCGCAGTTGCCATGTTCTTTGCCATTCCTTCTTTCCCGGCTAACCAGAGGTAAGTTTTGGCAGGCATGAGCGATTTTGGCTTCACCCAGGGTCCGGACAACTGCTTGATCAATGACTGGACATGACCTCAGTTTCAGTGCGTTGCACTGGTATGAGCTATGGTCTGAATTCCTAAAAATGGGTTATGTAGGGGACTATGTACGGGACGCTTATAAGGACTGTTAAGGGCGATGCTAGGAGTTCAGACTATGGCTCATATGAAGGTTTGCCACCTCTGTGCCGTATGATTGTGATCCTGAGCATTACTAGGCTTACACAGTTCTTCCTATTTGACCATCACTATTGTTGCCGTGGTTGTCATGATCAGTATCATTGCGACGTTTCCCCCCCCACCCCCTTGTATGCTTCTATGCTTCATTCAGTTGCACCCTCAACCCTACACCCTTAACCCTATGAACCCTAAACCGATGAGGTATTGCTTCGATGAGGCATACTTCTACTACCACAGAAACCTTCTGATGGGACTGGCGCTCAGCTTCCAGAGCACTTGCTACTTCCGGGTGTGGCATGCCCGTATTGTTGATGGAATTGTTGCTTCCATATCTACATGGCCATATGAGCTATAATCTAAACTCCTAGTATCCCCCTTAATATCCCCATAGTAGTCCCCTATTTAATCCCCTATAAAATCCCATCAAGGAGTTTAGACTATAGCTCATATGCAACTGAAAACCTATGATAAGTAGACTGAACATGTCAGCCCACTCGACAAATTACTATGCAATTATCTATTCAATGAACAGTGGGGGTTCGGTACTGCCACCACTAAGTAGGAGTTGGATAATATTTATAATACATTTATATCCCCCCTTAATCGTACCCCTATGAAATCAGGGTCCCTAAGCCATAAACCATAAACCCTAAACCTTAATTATGGACAGCTACTGGGCGGGGGCAGTACCCTAAGTAGCGGCAAACCTTGAAAACTGAAGTTGCGCAAGGTTTCGCCATTGATTCCTTCAAGCGCAGCTCGTCTGGGCAGTTTAGGGTTTAGTGTTTAGGGTTTAGGTTTTAGGGTTTCTTGTGAGGTCCTTTTGGGATTGCTATATTATGACTTATTCTCCAAATGTTGAACCCCTTCGGTTTCTAGATTGTAGTGCTGCACCTAGTGTTTAGGGTACCAAACTGGGACCCTAATTTTGGGAACTATGCACATGGTAGTTTCAATAAATTGAGGGACCCCAACTTTCGGACCCAAGATATGATAATCCTATTCTGGGGACCCCCACAAGCTACTCCTAATTTTGGGAAGCCCCCATATTACTTCAAGGGAAGGGGGGCAATCCAATTCTCAGAAATGCTTCTCTCACTCTTTAGACCTTCAATCCAGTTGGCATGAAGATCATGGACTCAGCTGGTTCGACAAGATCATGGATTCGGAGTGGAGTCTCTACACTCTACTGCAAACGTAAATTTCTTTTTCAGGAGGATCATGTTGGTATGTGTCATGGAACATTCATGTGAAGAGACTCCAGTTTCTGACTGAGGCAGGATCTCTGAAGTAAGATGGGGACTCCCATAATGCATAGGGTACAGGGTTTAGGGCTTAGTGTTTAGGGTTTAGGGTTCCTATGTGCCCTCCCCCATTACCTGGATTTCATACCAGTAACTGTTGGTGGCGCAGGTTATCACCCCGCCCTGAAAGCATTGATTTTGGCCAACGAGCCGGACTTGAAGGCCAGCAGTTTCGCGGTTGAGGGTGGTTTGAGGGTTCAGGGTTTAGGACTTAAATTTGCGGACGAAGGAGGTTCAGGGTTTATGGGTATACGGTATTAGGCATGAAGTTTACGAGTTCGGGCTTTGAGGTAGAGTGCAGGCATTTCAGGAAGCGTGGCTTAGGGACGGGCTCCTTGCAAGTTCGAAAGGTACCCAGACCCCCAATAGGATCTACAAAGTAGATCCCCTAGGGGCGATTATATGAGGATGGGTCTTTAGGGTTTAGGGTTTAGGGTTTAGGGGGGGTCTGGGTAGTCATGCGCGGGGCTGAAGTTAGGACCAGTTCTCACTATAGCTATAGCTGACATTGCTCAGGGTAGTTCATTACTCATTCGTACTTACCCAGGAGTCTCAAGTTGGCGTGACTACCTGTGGTATGACGTCATTTGTGGACAGAGTTTGGGAATTTGGATCCTCATATACGAGCATGATGATCCCCAACCGTTGTCAACTTGAAGAGGGCCACAGCGACAACCCCACACCAGAAAAAACCGTACGCACCACATAAACTCCTCAACCCTAACCTCCAACGCTAGGCCCCCCAAACCTCCCTAAACTTCCAAAAAGGTACTCTTCCCAGCATTATTACTCTTATTCCTCTTCGTATCATTCTTTATGTTCCCATGAACATTGCTGTTAATATGATTATTAACAGTACTATTACTGTTAACATTAATATTAAGATTACTATTAAATAGCTTTCAAAATCATATTCAGATTAATATGAAGGTCCCCTGAAACCTGAGATGCCAGGTGCACCCTCGAAGCCTAACCTGCCGTGCCATGGCGTCTGTTTTTGATGCCATCCTGGAGGCAGCATCTTGCCTATGATTAAGGGTTTAGGGTTTAGTTTAGGGGGGTTAGTTTATGGCTTAGGGTTTAGGGTTTAGGGCTTAGGGTTTAGGGCGCAGGGTTTAGGGTTTGGGGTTTAGTCAGCGCTTAGGGTTTAGGGTTTAGTCAGTGAGGGGAGGTATCTCCTTTTCTGTGCTTCATAGGGGCATACAGAATGTGTTATGTATATGAATACATATGTGTATATATCGTGGCAGATACCCTATATGCGTTTGTCTATCAGAAGATGTAGGTGTATGCATGCAAGTGCATATATATATATATATCAACACCTCCGCATGTATGTACACATGTGTATATATATATATCAGTGTACAAATATATGCATGCGTTTGTACACATGTACAAGGTTTTATATGGAACTACATTATACAGTTTCAGGTCTGCATATTGGGCTACAAGTCTTGGGAATACACAGGGGCATGCAGAAACATGGATCCTAAAACGGCTCCCTGCAGCTACTCGGGCGGATCTATGCAAAAGCTCCGTTCCTTCAGAAGCCTTGTGCCCCTAAACCTTAAACTCATGGCATAGGCCGCCCACCTTCGATGGTGGGCGGCGCTTAAGCCCCTCGACATCGATGGCGCAGGTCGATCCAGCACG